TATATTCTGTATCGCGGGACGGAAAACCGGCATTCGATCTGTACCCCTTCTGACAATTTTCGTTTATTCCCAAGCCAGCGGATACCCGTATGTGCCTGGGGAACATCAAAGGGATTGCCACGATACGAGGCAGATGTGGAGGGTGCAACCGCTGGAAAGGATGCCGAAGTATGTTCCTTATGTCATTTCGCGGGACAAAATTGTTCGAGGAGAAAGAAACGATTTAGGAAAAAGAGCACTTTAGGATGCGCTGTATATGCGTTTTCCATTTTTCGAATAAAAGCTAATTTTCGCTGAAGACACTCATTTTAGAATAAAATGATTGAAAATTAATATACAAAGATTAAAGTCATATTAAAATATATATAGTAATTATAATAGCTTTATTATATATATATATATACATATATATATAATGCAATAATAGTTCTGTAAAGCAATGATCAAATTTGTAGTTTGTGAGATAATTATTATTATGATATTTTAATTAGATTGTACTGCAAGTCCAAAAATAATCAACGTTCAATTATCTAAAGTAAATGTATTTAATTATTATTCCATCTAATTTTACCGTAGTTGGCGCGTGTCTTCTTATTTAATTGATTTATTATAATAATTTATTATTTCATTATATTCCTTATCTTATAAATCTGACTATTATATATTTCAGGTCTACTATAATGGTATTTCCTATAAAGACACAAATCTGAAAGTGTAAATGGAGTAGAACGTATAGATAAATAAATACAATTTTTTAATTTATAAATGATGAACATCAGGAGACGCGGTAATGTCTCAGGCCATGTTCAAAAACTGAAAAACACTACAAGTCTCTTATCGCGAGCCACCAAAATCCATTTTTCGGGGGTGCATAGTTACTAAAATATAAAAAATTTTGAATCGAACGTTATATGTCCTGAAAGGCGGCATCCCCACGAATAATTTGGGCCGAAAAAATTTAAAATCGGTCAAGCCTGGAGATACAAGCGGTCGAAAAGTGATGATTTTAATGAAAAATTAAGAAACGTCTCCTTCTTCTTCTTCTCTCTGTCCGCATTCATCATTGCAATCTCGTTTCTAATTAATATATCGAAGTTGGTTTAAGCCCTACAAAGAAAATCACGACATTTTCATGAATTATGTACACATGACACATATATGAGTACAGCTCTTAAATGCTCACGTTCTAACACTGTTAAATTATTATCACTGTAACTGTAAAATCGTGTCAACGTTTTTCAGTATAATACAATGTATAGCTTCAGTTTTAAGAAAGTCAAAGCCTTTAATATGCGAGAGTATACTACATATAATAAAGCGAGAACGTAAATAAAAGTATTAAAATTACATTAAATTTATTTAAAGAAATAAACAGTTAAAGATGGAATGTTTCGTATACTTTAAACATTTTATCAATAATACACGTCAATCCCTATAGGCGCAAAATGATCCTAGAATGACACATAAACATAGTTAACATATAAAATAAATTATTATAATTATTTATATTACAAAAATTATATAATAATTTATATTTTTTAACATCATGAGATTATTCTATGTATGTTATACGTCAATTTATGTAATATTCTTCGAAATTTTCCTTAACAGGGCCAAAATATGATTATACAATGTATAGCTTCAGTTTCAAGAAAATCAAAGCTTTTAATATGCGAGAGTATACTACATATAATAAAGCGCGGACGTAAATAAAATTATTAATTACATTAAATTTATTTAAAGAAATAAACAGCGAAAGATGGAATGTTTCGTATACTTTAAACATTTTATCAATAATACACGCCAATCCCTATAGGCGCAAAATGATCCTAGAGTGACATATAAACACAGTTAACATAAAATAAATTATAAATTATTATAATTATTTATATTATATAAATTATATAATAATTTATATTTTTAAACATCACATGAGATTATTCTATGTATGATATACGTCAATTTATGTAATATTCTTCGTAATTTTCCTTAACATTGTCAAAATATAATTATAACTTATATTACCGTAATCTTCTTTGTATTAACAGTCCATGTTGCTAAAATAACTTTTAATATAATATTATAGTATATTCAAATAATAAAAACATTGAATGGATATATAATACTATCGGGCTTAGATATACAATCAATTAATAGTGCATCCATGCATACATCCATTAATGGTGCAAGAATATACGATATATACAACAATAAATTTTAGAGAATGAAATTTTTTCTAATAGGATGCAATTGAATTTCTAAAATATGCGTAATATATAATGAATAAATAATTCCGTTTGAAATCGATTGACTTTTAAATTAGTTTGACGTCATAGTTTGTAGACTTTTTTAAATAAATCTTCGAAAAAAGATTGACTACGATGATTAAGCGTTAATAAAATATCGTTTTTTTTTGCAAATTAATAGAAAATATGCTCGATGTAACATTAAAAATGTATGATAAATCAAGCAATATTTGATTTTGTCTCAGTGGCTAAATATTACTTCTAAGAAATAATATGCGCTCCTAAGGATGCTACTTATACTACATAAATTAGAGTATCTCGTACAAAAATTATATCCACTGGATATCTCCTACCTATGAGACTATATCTCGTATAAATATTATGTTTGTATCCTCATCTTCTTTCAACGCTGTTTCGCATTACTCTTATTAAGAATAATTATAATTGTATTTGATTCTTTATACCGTTGTCCATCGCAGTTCGTTTCTATGACATTACAATTGCAATATGCGATCCTAAAAAATAAATAATTTTTCCTACAGAATCTATGCAACTTAAACGTGAAAACTTTGGTAACGCGTAAAAATCAATAATCTACGAAAAATACTTGTAGGAATATGTTGGTTTTGCTTAGCTTTGGAGAATGTCGTAAAAGAAGAAGAATGTCACAAAGAATGGAATAACAATGTTTTTACATTCTTATGATTTCTCTAAAACGCAGCAAAGACGAATATATTTTTACAAGACCTTCTTTCATAGTTTATCGATATCCTACACACTCCCAGAGGTTTCGACACTTTAGTTCTGGACAATCTAAATGTTTAAAACCTTGTGGTATATTACAATTTTACATCATAATGTTTTTATCACATCATAATATATAAAATGATAATGAGAGCCAGACTCTGGATGTATGCGTGTAGTAAAATTCTTTATTAAATTAAAACTTAGATGTTTTTCGATCGTGAACACAATCATTTTCAATACAATTTGACTTTTTATAAAATTTAATGTATTTATGAGACGTTATACATAGAGAAGTTATACATGAGAAGTTGTACATAGCAAACAAATCTTTACAATGTAGTTAACGACATCAACTTCTCATGTACATACATTAGATTTTATATAAGGACAAATTGTATTGAAAGGAATCGTATTCACGATCGAAACGTCTAAGTTTTAATACAATAAAGAATTTTACAACACACGTACATCCAGTGTCTGGCTCTCATTGGCAGTTTATATATTATGATTTAATTCAACAGAGCCTCCTATATTTATTTTTTAATTGTGTTATTATGACATAAAGAAATAGAAACAAAAAAGGATAAGAATATTATAATAAATTTCATAATTTTTTTATGAATGAATAATTTCGGTTGAAGACACAAAATTCTGATTTTATTTAATGTTCATTGAAGTGATTTTCTTTGAAGTATCCTTTCACAAACAAGAAAGTATTATTTCTATCGACATATTTACAGATTTGTGGATCTGATAACGAAGACTTTAATGCAAACAGAAAATAAGCATATTTTTAATTAATGTGTAAATGCGTAAACACAAAGACTCTTTAAGGGAGAAAGAATTGAAAATAATGTTAAGTATAATGTTAAGTATAATATATAATAGAAAGCTCTATACGTATAAAACGACAACGACAAATGAAGTGATTTCGACGATGTCAGATAACGTCATTTATTATCTATACGTACCTATACGTTATCTAACATCGACAAAATCACTTGCTCTGTAACACTTCGTTTGCAAACTTGCTCACATTTCTAAATTTAACGATTTTATATCTATAATGAGTCCTTTCAACTCTTTGTTTTCCTTTATTATTCATAGATTTTTAAAATTTTATCTAATAAGACTATGTCCGTTTCTTATTTATGAACATTTAATATTTTATCACTTTGACTATTCTAATTTATGTACTCGCAACTGTAAAGGATATGAGGACTGCGTTACCGAAAAATTTTGTAGATTTCAAATAGTTTCATAATTATAATTTACTGTGCATTGATAATGACCCGATCGGCGTCACATTTGTTGTAATCTCTTTATTATTTTGAAATAAAGTTTCTTTGTTATACAACTGGCTGTTAACCTTTTATTTGTGATAATATTAAAGGACATACCTTACAAGGATGTTGTCTTTTATTTTTGTGCTTCGAGTCCACATGATAACCAAGTATCATTTAGCATGGGAATTCTTTTCACATTCATTAGATTCGTAATAACGTTAATTATTGTAATGAAACACAAATTTGTGCTGTTTTAGAGATCGAATATGTCTATAAAGTTACCTTGCAATATATCATTTGTTACAACATAATTTAAGTTTATAGAACAAATTACCAAATAATTCCTTTTATTCTTGATATTCAAAGATATACCCACCTAAACATATCTCCACAAAACTCACAATGATAAGGTTTTTCGCCAATATGAGTTCTCTCATGAATATACAAATGTGCTTTGTTCTTAAACTCTTTATTACACGTTCCGCATTTGTATGATACATTTCCAGTATATAGGTCCTTATTAAACTTGAAATGTTCATCATTGAAATGCTTTCTTTTCACGTGTATTTTTAGGTTTCCTTTTTGACTGCAATGCGACCGTTGCAATAATTATTATTTTCACCAGCTAACTTATTCATTGATATTGTGTTGCGTGTATGTGTGTTTGTGTGTGTGTGATTTACCAAATTATTTTCCTAACACTTGTTGTTCACTTAAATACTCACTCAAATTTATCTTCACAAAATTCACATTTATAAGGTTTTTTGCCTGTATGAGTTATTTCATGGTTACGTAAATGCGTTTTGTCCTTAAACTCTTTATTACATGTTGCGCATTTGTATGATACACCTCCAGTATATAGGTCCGTATTAGCCTTGAAACGTTCATCATTGAAATGCTTTGCCACCATGTGACTTCTTAGGTGATATTTTCGGCTGCAATGCGACCATTGCAATATTAATTTTTTGTACCAGTTAATTTAATCAATGATATATTATATATTGAATTGCCAAATAATTACTTTACCTATTGTTGTTCACTTAAATACTCACCGAAATTTGTTTTCACAAAATTCACATTGATAATTTTTTTCGCCTGTATGAGTCATTTCATGGCTATGTAAATTCGTTTTTTTCTTAAACTCTTTATTACATGTTGTGCATTTGTATGATACACCTCCAGTATATAGGTCCTTATTAGCCTTGAAACGTTCATCATTGAAATGCTTTGCCACCATGTGACTTTTTAGGTGATATTTTCGGCTGCAATGCGACCGTTGCAATATTAATTTTTTGTACCAGTTAATTTAATCAATGATATATATTGAATTGTTAAGTAATTACTTTACCTATTGTTGCTCACTTAAATACTCACCGAAATTTATTTTCACAAAATTCACATTGATAATTTTTTTCGCCTGTATGAGTCATTTCATGGCTATGTAAATGCGTTTTGTTCTTGAACTCTTTATTACATGTTGCGCATTTATATGATACACCTCCAGTATATAGGTTCTTATTAGTCTTGAAACGTTCGTCATTGAAATGCTTTGCTATCACGTGATTTCTTAGGGTATATTTATGGCTACAATGCGACCGTTGCAATATTAATTTTGTACCAGTTAATTTAATCAATGATATTGAATTGACAAATAATTACTTTAACTCTTGTTGTTCACTTAAATACTCACCGAAATTTATCTTTACAAAATTCACATTGATAAGGTTTTTCGCCTGTATGAGTCATATCATGGAGATGTAAATGTGATTTGTTCTTAAACTCTTTATTACATGTTGCGCATTTGTATGATACACCTCGGGTATACAGGTCCTTATTAGCCTTGAAACGTTCATCATTGAAATGCTTTGCCATCACGTGACTTCTTAGGTAATCTTTTCGGCTGCAATGCGACCGTTGCAATATTAATTTTTTGTACCAGTTAATTTAATCAATGATATTGAATTGCCAAATAATTACTTTAACTCTTGTTGTTCACTTAAAAACTCACCGACATTTATATTTACAAAATTCGCATTGATAAGGTTTTTCGTCATTATGAATTCTCTCATGAATACGCAAGTTCCCTTTATTCTTAAATTCTTTATTACACGTTCCGCATTTGTATGATACACCTCCCGTATATAGGTCCTTATTAGCCTTGAAACGTTCGTCATTGAAATGCTTTGCCATCACGTGATTTCTTAGGTTATATTTATGGCTACAATGCGATCGTTGCAATATTAATTTTCTACCAGTTAATTTAATCAGTGATATTGAATTGCCAAATAATTACTTTAACTCTTGTTGTTCACTTAAATACTCACCGAAATTTATTTTCACAAAATTCACATTGATAAGGTTTTTCGCCTGTATGAGTCATATCATGGAGATGTAAATGTGATTTGTTCTTAAACTCTTTATTACATGTTGCGCATTTGTATGATACACCTCGGGTATACAGGTCCTTATTAGCCTTGAAACGTTCGTCATTGAAATGCTTTGCCACCATGTGACTTTTTAGGTGACATTTTTGGCTGCAATGCGACCGTTGCAATATTAATTTTTTGTACCAGTTAATTTAATCAATGATATATATTGAATTGTTAAGTAATTACTTTACCTATTGTTGCTCACTTAAATACTCACCGAAATTTATTTTCACAAAATTCACATTGATAAGGTTTTTCGCCTGTATGAGTCATTTCATGGAGATGTAAATGTGTTTTGTTCTTAAACTCTTTATTACACGTTCCGCATTTGTATGATTCACCTCCAGTATATAGGTCCTTATTAGCCTTGAAACGTTCGTCATTGAAATGCTTTGCCATCACGTGATTTCTTAGGTTATATTTTCGGCTGCAATGCGACCGTTGCAATATTAATTTTTTGTACTAGTTAATTTAATCAATGATATTGAATTGCCAAATAATTATTTTATCTCTTGTTGTTCACTTAAATACTCACCCAAATTTATCTTCACAAAATTCGCATTGGTAAGGTTTTCCGCCCTTATGAATTCCCACATGAAGACTCAAACTCTTTTTAGATGTATACTGTTTGTCATACGTTTCACATACGTGTGGTCTAATTTCAATACGTATATCTCTATTATTTTCATTCGAAGTTGTCGAGAAGTCAGTGCGCTTATCTTAATATTATGAAAGCAGTTGTTATGAAATAAGCATGAAAATATAACATAATTCTCATAATATTTAAAATTCTCTCTTCAACAAAATTAAAGCATCACCTGCAAGAACAGGCAAACTTCGAAAAAGAATAACTTCGTGGAAGATCGTCATAATGAAATGTTTAAAAATCAATTTTATATAATGTTCTATCCTTCACTCTATCCTTCACACAGTCATTTCAAAAAATATCTCGCTAATATTTTGAAGTTAGGGTATCTAAATGATTATTCGTCAAATCTTAAAGTTTTATATAAAATTTGTGAAGTTGTTCGGCGCGAAATGATAATTATGCACAAATGGGTTTCACAGCTTCCGAAAGATTGAATCGTTTTTTTTCGTAATTTTCTTTTTCGTCGATTTTTTTCACCGATTTATTCACCAATTTTAGTTGAAGTAAAAAAGTTCATTTTTACATCAATATCCAATAGTTCAGAGAAAGAAAATAGTACAAAGCACGAAAGAAAAGAAGTTTAGATACCAAGATTTACTCCTTCGGATGCTTTTAAACCGCGTCAGTGCCCATTTTCAATTCGCAACGTGGAATTTTCGCAAATTTTGTTAAAAATTTTAAAATCTGTTGCACCTTTATTTTAATTTGTGTAATTTTACAAAGTGTCAGTAATATCGTTGTTTGAAGTAAAATTCTGAAAAGAACAGATTTAATGCTTTAAAGTGTTTTTCTAAAATTCTCAATACGATTATTCCTGACAAAGTTATTCTACATCAAAATTTTTTTATTTTTGCATGATGGATTATTTAATGCATTAATTTTGTTGAGCAAATTGTAATGCATAGTAATATTAATTGAACTAAGAATAATTATTAGGGACTATATAAGTCTTACCGCGCTGTTGGTGTACATCTCCTTTTGTATCGATATTCATTTCTTCATTTTGATCTCTTATCATCTTTTTAGAATCATCTCTCGGATCCATCAGGATTATTTTTCAATTCACTTTGCTGTAACGTTCTTTGTATTACTTTCGTAATTTACACGTTCTAAAAATATTTAGATACTTTTGCTTTCGTATTTTCCATAAATTATAAAAAACCCTAAAAGATACAGTAACACAATTTTAAATATAATAAAATTATATAATAAACTGACAGCTGTCACGAAAAGTAATAAGGAAGTAACGAAAAGCTGTGTCAAATGGAATTAGTTATAAATAAGTAATGTTAGTTACAAATATTTAAAATTATAAAGTCACCTCTCTGAAGTCGAATAATTGTTAGATTTATTTAATAACTTTTATTCAAAAATTAAAATTTAGATGTATAGAACAAGACCAAATGATACGTTTGAATTTGAAATTGTTTGCTGACAAATAAACACGTCAAAGTCTTGGGAACGACTGATCCAAGGTCTTCGTACGGATACCTATTATACGTTTTCATGTACATATAGATATACTTATGTATACTTATAAGTGATTCTTTCGAGAACCGAGAGGACATTTTGCATTATAGTCTCAAAAATCGAATAAACTGCGGAGAGATGTTCTTTAGGAAAACTAAAACCCGTATTTTCTGTTTCTGCTTAAAGAAAACGGTCTAATCGAGGTATTAATTTAAATTACAAAATATAAAGAATTTGAAATTATATTACACAAGCTATACGGTTCGTTCTAGCAAAAAAAAAAATAAAGATTGATGTATAATTTTTTAAAAAACACGTTAGCAATTGTTATGAAAACAGTAACACAAATCTGATAATTTTTTAAATACACTACTCAAATTAAACCATCACCTGTAAGAACAGGCAAATTCGTAATAGAATAACTTTTTCAAAAATCATCTTAACGAAATGTTTAAAAAACTGTTTTAAGCCTTGAAATCATTATTTTTTTTACCGGCATTTCAAAATCTGACTGTAGACAAAGAATCTGAAGTCTCTTGACGTTATATTAGAGTAAGACAAATTTATCATGTTTATGTACTTAACAAAGTTAGAAATTGTTCTTTTCTTAAAAGAAAAATGAAATAAATGCTGAAATCAATTAAATTAATTTTTTTGATAGAGAAAAAATGGAATTTTCGTTGTTTTAGAAATAATGTACAATAATTTGGAATAATTTAATATGGTAATTTGGAGATAAAGAGGGGGGAAAGGGGGAAGGGGGAGTGTGGGAGAGGGATGGAGGGAGAGGGAGAGAGAGAGGAAGAGAGATCTTATCTCTATCAATCAAGTTAATTTGATTATTTTTACAAAGTATATAGAACTAACTTATTCCAATTTTTTATGTCTGTCACGTTTAAAATAATAGCGTTACATTTCAAAATTTAATTTACTCTGTAGAAAATTTTTAAAAAATAAACTTTGTATGCTATGAAAATTAACGAGTTGACATCAATATCAAAGCATAGTTTAGTATAATCAGCAAATTAGCCGAATTATCGATCTCATGTTGACGACTCTCGAATGTGAGCACACATAAGCATTAATTAGTAGAAGTGAGAGAGTTACCGGAAGTGCGGATGTGCCTGTCAATGAACAAGCAGTCTAATTCGGCCACGCTGACGCTTTCAGCTACATACGCGCGACACACTCGTGCGAATTTCCCATGTGAGCGTAGACACAGAGCACAAGTGTACACAGAGCACGTAAATGATACACAGCGTGAAAACGGACGCGAAAGGACAAATTTGTAGTACAAACTTCCTATTTTGTATATCGTGAAAAGGGAATTGCAACCTCGCATGGATACAGAGGCCAAACAGCGAATGTATTCAACGTATTGTAATAAAAATGTAGATAATCCAATTTAAATGATTCGGTTATAATAATTTGATTTGGTACTATAAATAATATAGAATTTAATTAAACATGCAATTTGTAATGCAGTACTTTTCTAAAATCTAAACTTCCCTATTGTTAGCGATACATATTCTAATTTTGAGATCTTTGAAAATTAGACTGAATAAAAATTGAATTGAAAGGATGAAAAGATATGGCTAGACCGAAAGAGTTTCGATGAAATATAGTGCACTGTGAATAATGATAAAGTAAAATTTGTTGTCTTCACGTATAAAATAAATAGCCTCATAAAGCTTACGTTAATTTAGGTTATAAATAACTATTCTGTAGCGATCATGGTATAAATTTATCGATTGGAGATGCCAAGAAAATATCGATATACCTCCAAAGCACACGGTAAGCGATTTATATGTCTTAGGATAAGGTCGAGACGATTTTTTCATCTAAGAAATCCACTGCTGGCGTCGATAACCACTTATCTCTCAGAGGAGCTCGACTCCGACGTGATCCGAGATAGTCAGGAACCTTGATACGCGTGCCTCTAAAACTGTCAATATTGAGACAGGTTAAATCCATGGGAAATTGGTTCATTTATCGCGTAACATCACACCTATTACATACTATCATCAATCGAGTATCTCAGCGTTTAAAACTATCAAGACTAATATCATAATTTTAATGCAAAAGCTATTTTTCTCAAGTAATTTCTAATCATAGTTTAATTTTACGTTTTTTGAAAATACTATTATAATATTTACAATACAGAGATGGCAAAAGATAGCAATTTAATTTATAACAGTTAACCGCTATTTATAATTAATTGTAAATGATATCAATTGAATCATAACTGATTGAGACATAACTTTTAATAAAAAACTTAAAAAAATATATGTAAATGAAATATGTAAATTTGTTATATGTAAATAAAGTTTTCTTAAAAAGCAGATTCGTTTAATATCCTTTAAAATAAATTATATCACACATATCGAAGTAAAATAAGTTCTCATAAGAAATCGAAGAAATAATGTTCGTTTCTTTGTAAGTAACGTTGGATTACTTTGTTCATTTTCGTTCTTGATAAATATCCCGTATCTTTCCGGCAACTTTTTATTAACTGAATCCAGAGTCTCAGTGGACGAGTACGACAAAGCGATCCCGTAATATCGCCAATTGAATCCTCGTGGATAGAGTGCAGCGATTTGTAACGGGATTTTGAAGCGGCTGTCTTGCTCGGGCCGGATAATGGCGTACGGATTTTTCAGTCTGACTGAAATCAGGTAGTACTGAAAGGAGATTTTGAAAAGGGATCGCTGGAAATGTGAACGAAATTGCAGGAATTGTAAAGAAGGCGGAAAGAGAACAGTATAGTATCTTATAGATGAATGTTTTATCTAACAAGCCAATACAGATAGTTGAATAATTCTAATATCTTTTAACAATAAGCTTAAATTATAACTGATAATACATTGTTGTCAAAAGATTGACAAAACATTAATAAATTATTTTAATTTTTAATAATTATTGTATTATCCAACAAATAATATTTTTCATTATAAAAAATATTTTATAATATTTTCAACATGCAAAATCAATTCTATTTTATGGAATATTTTATATTGGTCATAACAAAAAAATATAAAAATTGTTCTTCTCATCTAATACGTACGTATGTTTTTTCAAATAATAGGTATATTTAAAAATGTAAATATTGTCAACCTTTTTTAATGAAGAAAACAATAATTTGCAACAGAAATAATAATAACATCTCCAAATTGATTAGTAAGATAAGATACACCTGAGAAGGGCACTTGTAGTGACTTTGTGACTCAAAATTACAGTCGGGAGAGACTCGATGAGAACGATCGACAAGGATTCCAACAAC